GTTTCAGGTTCGAGAGGGTCACAACGGCCAACTACTTCCCCATACATATTCATGCGAAGTATTTACCTAAGGCCAGAAAAGAACTGTTAAGAACCAAGGCAACGTATCGCATTAATACGGAGGGTCCTCGTGGAGATCCTACGAATACGTAGATATATGCAAATGACGCCATTCCTGCCGGGGAAACCTTTAAATCACACATCGAGGCTACCAATAACACGTCGACGATCGTAATACAAGACAGCCTCTATGCGCTGGTACCGACTAGAATACCGAAACGCTCGTCCTCGAGTTAAAGGTATCGCGTTCTAAGTACGGTAACATGCAATAACAGGCTTTCGTCGGGCGCGATTTCGCGCGCACGGGATTAAAATAACAAATAGACGAATGCCGACGCGTGTTCCCGCGTAATCGGCACACCGTGTCGTAACGTTCATCTCCATCCCGCCTTTTGTCCACGCGAAACTCAGATATGAAAATCGAAGGAAAGATAGAGACAGAAACAAGAAACAAGAAAATACCAAAGAAAAAATATATCTCAAAACTCCCGGGGCTGTTGGAGGATCCCTCCTTTTACCGTTTACCATAATTTCCTTGTTGCGTTCCGTTGGCCGAGCAAGGACACACTGGCGAGGGGGGCCTCGGAGCGGATCGTTTCCCCCAAAAAGCGAAATTTATACATCACAATTCACCGCGCATCGCCGCCATTAACGCGTCGACGACCGGTGGGACCGGAACGCGGGGGAGGGGGTCGACGAGACAGACGGGCCACGGTACATCAACCTCCGTGGAAACGGAGCCCGACCGGCCCCCGAAGTACCAAAAGGAGCCACGGCCGTGCTTTTATCGCGAGTAATTCGGGCCACGATCGTACGTATACGGTGTCTAATAAATTCGTGAATGGCCGGGGCTGCGACTGAAATGTCCTATACACCCACGCGCGCTGGCTCACACACAACCCGCGGGGCCCCGGCCGCGCCACGAACGTCGGATCGTTGTGTGCGCGTGCCTCGCTCTCGGGGTCCGTGGCGAGGTTGTTGGCGTTCGGTTTGCGCGCGGGCTTAGGGTGGGTACAACGGAGCCGACCGGGCCGACATGGGGGCACCGAGAGAGAGCGGATATTATCGCCAAACGTTAATTTGGTCGAGGCCCGGCCTACCTTCCAATTTTCGAGCCCTTACACGCCCACTTACGAGATTGTCCGTTAATGCTCCGAAACGTCGGGACGCGTTTTCGACGCCCGCGTTTCACCGCCACGGGAGAGCCTCCTCTCCCAGCCGCCGCGCCACCCGGGCATACCTACGTTCCCTCGCCGAGAGTACACCTCCGACGAACCTCTCTAAATTCTACGGTATTATGACTAGATGTCCGTTCGAGAGTGAGACTATAAAGCGGGTCGCTGTACAGGAGCGTTCCTTTTGCGACGCTGCGTTGAAGTGAGTGTTTAGAGTATTTATTGTCCCTAGGAACATTGATGTTCGATTATTTGGACCTTGGAAATTAGAGGTTTAAAAATAGACAATTGGAATATATATTCGTGCAACTGTATCAATCGACGGCGATGGAAACGTTTAATGTGTTTGCGAAATTTGATATGTGTTAGATTGATGCGTTTTATAACATAGTGTTAAGAATGCGAAACAGTTTGGAATTTTAATGATATTCAGGGTCTGGAAGAACTGAGTTTAGCGGAATTAATTGCATATTAAGATTAAGGATTGAAATGCAAGTTTCAATTGAAGCTTGCAGTATTATAGTATGCAGTATTTCAATTGAAGTAATTTTTCTCGTGTACAATTAAAGTATTGTTAACTACTTTTGGTATTGTTTTCAACCGTCAAACTTTATTGAAATCTAGAATTGCTTCAGTCGATGTTTGAAATTAGGAATGAAAACCGAAACTACTTTTGAACATGGAAAGTATCTTGTACTTTAATGGATCCGGGATTGTTTTTGAAATATGTCCAACTTTATTCGAACAGTCTTTTCGCGCTCGGTCTCCGCGCGCGGTCGCGTTCTTACAAAATAGACACGAAGGGACTAAACTTTGAAACATCAAATTGCCAGGTACCAGACGTTTAGGTACTGGGTCTCCGGATACTAGTAATTTGTGCGGCATGATACCAGTAATTTAGATCCTAAATGTGGATCCTGATATTAAGCTTTAAGAACTGAACCTTCAGTTTACTGGTGCTCTATACAAATACCACCTTTCTCAGTAATAAACCTCTAGGTATCAGATAATGTTGCTATATGATGTAACATTATATCGGGTGTTCTGTATTTTTCCTGTCAAACGGTGCCACCACATTCCGTGAACGGAGATAAGAATAAAATAAGATTACAACCCACCCCTTGCTAATGGTTTATTGAAAAATTATTGACAAATTTTCTTCGTCACTTTACCGTACAATCTTATTCATTTTATAGAATTTTATGAGCACGAAGACGTATACTCGCAAGCATTTTACAAGTAACTAGATGTCGCTTCAATACTTACAGATACGATTGACGTGGAAACACGCCCATAGTGCTTACAGCGGCCAATTTCGTGGACTTGTATACACGCCCATAGCATCGAAATGGTTAAAAAGGTACAACAAAGTTACGAAATAATAACAGACTATCTTTTCCCGTTCGGTAAATTTTTTTCTTTCAAATTAATAATCGAGGAAGTTAGTGAACTCAGTTTGATTAGATTAATGAACATTGACAACTTGTTTTACAATGTATCGAATTATATGAGAATTTTTGTTCTTATTCTTATTCACGAAACGTAATGTTCGTATCATTTTGTAAAAACCTACTAGGACGCCCTGTATGATTTTATGCAGCCCCGCTACCAAACATTCAGTTCTATGCACGAATTTACTTACTCCGATATTGATATGCGGCTGCAAATTTAACATCGATAACGTCTTCCACCCTCGACGCGATAAAGGTACGATAACGCGTTCTGTCCTATCACGCAAAGAGAATTCATATTGGCTATACTACCACGGGGAAATGAAATCGTGTGTCGCAGAAAAGATTGAGGGCCGTTCGTTCAAGCGTTAAGTGAAGATTCCGATCTAGGAGTTTGAGGAAATCGATTTTTTATTGCATCCTTCAAATCCTTTATATTCCTAGAATATTTGATTAAAGATGTGTTCATAAACATTCGAAACATATAGGGACCCATATATTCGCGAATGGAACAGTTTTTAAAGACAACACCTGCGTAAGAAGAAAAAAAAGTATTAATGGATCCACACCTTTCCTTTCTATTACCTAGAAACAAAATCCTAAAATTTCGAAACATTAAAAAATTTATATCGTTTCAAGCTGTTGAAAGGGAGGGAACTTCATTTCAATTTCTGTAATTCGAACATGTCATCGTTCCACATTCGGAGCACAAAAAGAAGAAACACCGACAAGCTTTAAAATTTTCAAGGTACCTTAACCGAATATCCATATGACTCGAGAAGCAAAGCGAAAAAACGAAAGCAGAGAAAAAAGGCTGAAAATTAATTAGGGCGCGCGTAAGAAGCTAAGAAAACAGGGAAACCGTATTTCAACGGTGCCCCGACATTCCCGTGGACGCGGGGCATCATCGCGCGGCCGTATCTAATTTATGTAACCCAGAACAAATATACCAACGGCCGTGTACGCGCGTCCGCGGCGCGGCGAAAGGAAAATAAATACGAAGAGGGGGCGAAACAAGTGGAGCCGACCTCGAGAACCAAGAAAATAGTCGACTGCGCGCCGATTCGTAGACCCGAAATAGGGCGGTGCGAACAGCAGGAGACGTTACTGTGCACGGTGCAACACGGAGGAAAGAGACGCGCATTGGCATGTGTGAGCGCCGTTGGAAAGAACCGGTTATATAGGAACCGTCCTCTACCTTCTTCTTCTTCTTCTTCTTCTTCAGCTTCTTCTTCATCTTCTCCTTGTTCTGGTTCTTCTTCTACTTCTTCTACATCTTCTTCTTCGTCCCCTTCTTCTTCTTTTCTACATATTCGCCGACCTTTCGTTCCATCTAAGTATCCAGCAAGTCTCGCTACATAATACAGCCTCATGACTATATATATATATATGAGCTCACCTGTGTGCGTCAGCGTGTGTATGCACATACGTTGGGAAAGGGGCCCGTATGTACACTTACGTGGGGTCCCGACACCATGGGCGCCTGCCTATCTGACACTGGGTGCCTACGAGGGCGAGTCCGCGAGTCGTCTCCCTTTCTTTCGTTCCTTTCGTCCTTTTTCCTCTTCTTTCTTTTTTACCTTTTTCCCCCTTTCTTGACCTGGCTACCGACGGACCCAAAGGGAACCCCTCGTATCTGCTCCCCGCGAGGAACCTCCGGGGGCGTCGGAATTTCGCGAATGTTTCACGGATATACCCTCGTTCCCGATACGCGGAAACGGCTGGGCCCATTGTGCTCCCCGCTGCCTCCTTCCTGCGGCGTCCCGCGGTGAACGAAACGTGGTCGTTAATGTTCGTACTCATCACGCAGATATCCCGGAATTCATTTCTCGGGACTCCTCGACGCCGCGACGATGGATATTCCTGCGTTTACCGTTGCCGGGGAAATTCTTGGACGCTCGCGTTCGCGGGAATGCTTGTGATTTGCGGACTCACAGGCCTTGTGTCGCGTGGGTAAATTAGTATACTGTGATCTTATTGTACTGTTTGTTTGATCGTATTATGCAATGGTACTGCGCGGGATATAATTATAGAAAACAATGGACGTTGTACCGTAACAGTTTATTTTTTAGCAGAAATTCAGTGGTGGAACACCCAGCTCTGGTATTATTAGAGAACTGTATGTTAACATTATTCGGCGTTGGTTTAGAAATCACCAATATTCGGTATTTAAAACTGTATATTATAATAACTTCGTTTTACTTGTAATTAGCTTCGATATTTTCCCCAGTATTATTACTTCTTACTATTAATATTCGTATATCATATAATGTTCCTAACAGTCCTATATGATAATAACAGTACTAACAGTAATAATGATAGTAAAACAGTAAAACTGAAAATGGAAAGCAAATTGTCTTTTCATCAATCCGATACCGTCTCCAAAAACATTCTGTCCACCAACGCAATCTAACCAAATATTTACCTTTCTGTTACAGATTTCGAATAGACAACACAGATCACATAATAGACGTGAACAAGAACAACGCGGAGTTCGAGTACGATCAAGTGAACATAATATGTCCCGTGTACCAACCGGGGACGTATGACGACGACGCTGAGAAGTACATCATCTACAACGTAAGTGAATCGCGTCCGTGGACGATCTTCCTTGCTCACCACGCGCCGCTCGGAGATCGGCAGATATAAATCGAGTCACGGGGCCGGCGGCCCATTATACGAAATAAAAAATTGTCAAAGGGCGTTTCGTGGATGTTTAGACAGCTGCTCGAAACTCGTTCGTTAACTCGTTCGCTCGCACGCATCGGACCCCCGAGAACGACTTCCGCTTCGGTGCCGAGTCCTCAGCCGCATCTCGCGGAGCTGCTGCCCACCCTCTTCTTAAAAATATTCACAGTATCATCGCCGTTATTCCTGAAATAAATAGAGGCCTGCCGGTTCTAATCGCGCGGAACGCGTAAATCAAATCGTTGTCGCGGAAAGTTCTCCCTCCCCGCTCCCGACGCGATACGATCATGTATTCCAATTGCCCGGCGCGCGAGCACGAGCCTACGAGTCATCTTCCCCGGAACCTAATCATCGCCTCTGATTGGTCTTCAGCTTCGTATTGTCTTGTTGAGGCCCGCCGGCTTTCAAGATCGTGCCGGACAACAGACGTTGTTTCTGTGTTTAACGCAAGAACTACCATGTACCAGTCAAAACGGCTGGTTTTTGTTTTCTCAGTTTGCAATTACTGCTAGAACAGTGTGGAATATCTAAGATTCTTTAAAGAATTAATGGTTTTACTTGTATAATATAATAAATGTCAGTAGAAAGAAATAGATATAGATCATATTAAGTACTCAGTAGTTTTGGCGTTAATCCTTCGGCGCCTGTGTTTTTGTCCTTCAATCCAGTGTATTGTATTCAACAAAAGCATCAACGTACCTAGTAGGAGCATATTTCAAAAATATACAGGAAAACCGATAAGTCAGGATTTGAATGTTCCCGGACGTCGCTGCTCATGAAGTCGTCATAAACGTCCGCCCCCCGGATTCTAATCGAGCCTAGAGCAATCGAATGAAACCATCAGTTCTTTCCCGGAGCTAAACGCGGCGGAACCGTCTTTTTTACAGTAGTCAATCAACGATTAATGTCCTTTTGTGGGAGTCGTGTTACTGCCTCCGCAAACAACCGCGGCCGGACGTAAAACAAAGAAAACGGGGGAGAACGGCGTCGGGGCCAGGCCGGCTGGCGTTGCAAACCGGAAGCGTCGCCGATCGATTCGCCTCGGAAGTTAACTAACGCCTACCGTGCGCGTTTCCCGCAGGTGTCTAAGGAGGAGTACGAGACGTGTCGGATCACGAATCCAAATCCGCGGGTGATCGCGGTCTGCGACAAGCCATTTAGGACGATGTACTTCACGATCACGTTCAGGCCGTTCACGCCGCAACCGGGCGGCCTGGAGTTCCTCGCGGGACACGACTACTACTTCATCAGCACCTCGACCAAGGAGGACCTGCACAAGCGGATCGGCGGAAGGTGCAGCACCAACAACATGAAGGTCGTGTTCAAAGTCTGCTGCAGCAACGAAGCTGACACCTCCTCGTCCTCTGCGACGTCGCGCAACAACTGTGAGTACACGCTGTCCGAAATTTTACGCTTTCCCGTACGCTGTTCACGTGTCTGTCGGCGTGAAAGTCTTCGACGACGGTGCAACATGTTAAGAGTTAATGTCTGGGAGATTTTGATAGAAATTACCTAGATGCATAGGAGATTAGAAAAGTTACAAGATTGACGAAGTTTAATCGTTCGCAGTCCTACGTTGATCTAAATAACAACTACATATTTTAGCCACTACTTCGACGAGTTTAAAACGTAATTAAACTACGATTTTAGTAGTGGTTTTGAGAAGAAAAGATTGAAAACACCTGGAAATATTAAAGATCAACGAATATAACAGTTAATTTTAATAGAGTTTGCTTGTAATCTCTATTATTTTCCAAAACACATAAAATACTTATTCGCGAAAATGATGATCCACGCTGGAAACATTACCAACATTTCATGCCCCCATCGCGTCTCTCACTCGTAGTTTTCCCATGTCCAAGAATAACCAAGACACTCGAGATGATCAAAGTTACTTGGCATCTACATACATATTCGAAGCTAATTCAAAGCGATTACTACCCCATCACTGCTCATCCGACAACCTACCGTGATCCATCCCCCGGTGAACACCGGCGCACGTAAATCTACGGCCCGTTCCAAAGAGTCGTTTCGTACGCTGGCCATATTCTAAATACCCGATCATCATAATCCAAAATTACAGACGCGATCCCCGGCGTGAACGCACCGCCTTTTCATTCCGCGTGTAAATCACGTTTAAAGTCTTCACGCTTTCGCGTCAGACTGGCGCTCACACTCGCGCCGGCAAGCGAGCGAGCAAGCGATTCCTCGTCGTCCCCGTCGAACGACAGGAAGAAACGAATCAGAAGAGGACCGCGCCATAAATTCATTATCCCGTGATCAGTTCTAAAGAGGAGAACAACTTTTATGTGCGCAGACGGTCCGTGGCTGGTTTTCTCTTTCTCTTGCTCGCTCCTCTTCCCCCCTGCGCCCGGTCCTCTTCCCTTAAATAATCCCTATCAATTATAATTCTCACTGTGCACCATTTGTTGCGGTCAGAGAGAGGGAGGAAGGCCAACGCCGCGCGTCCCAGAGCACAATAAATTCCACTATTTCATTCTAGGCCCGGCTCCCTCCGCGCTCCCCCTAATTCGTTCCAGCCGCCCCTCCTCCTCCTGCCCTCGACGCCACCTCCTTCAGCCCGCTACCACCGGCCTCGGCACTCGCCACGGACGATTCATGCGCCGTAATGACTAGCTATTTCGCTGCCCGAGAACTCTGAACTCTTCGGCGTCCGGGCATTCAAGATTCCATCGGGACTCACGGCCTCGAAATCCCTACGCGGCAGGCGTTGGTTGCTGCCCGTTGCGTGGCTGCTGCCGCCACCGCCGTAGCAGCAGCAGCAGCTCGGCCTACGATTACTATCGCCGGTCACGAACCGCGAGAAATGTTAATCTCGCGGAAAATTTCAGGCAATCCCATCCAACCGCGCGCGCACCCGGTCGCGATCGCGACTGAACGACGCTCGCGGAGGCAATTAGCCGGTGAAAACGGGAAATTAATTTTCGATTTTATTTCAACGGTGGAAGCTATGTCTTGACAGTGTTCGAAGCCATCGGTATTCGTTGAGTTTGACGTTTCCTAGGGCGATGTTCCGTGAAAAGATTTGTTTTTCCGTGTTTCGCGGAGGATTCTTGTTTTTGCAAGGGATAATGTATAGCGCATTCATTTGTTTTTCTGGCGACAAATGGAAAGGATTGTCACGGTTTTTACGGAAGTTTGAATATAATTGAATTGTTTATTTGACAAAATGATTAACTTCGGTAAATGGAAAGTAGAAAAATGTTTTATCGTCGATGAATCGACACTCTTTAGAGATATTTAGGAAAGTTGAATTTCTATTAACGCTCGAAAACTCCCGTTCGCTTTCGACGCAACAAACCGAAAATGGAAACCCCGCATCTCTATATTCGGTTTTCATGATAGGCGCGTTGCGGTTGCCAACGAACCAGTATCAAATTTTTACGGCAACCTGTTTATGTTCGTACGTGTAACGGTGGGCAGCCACGTTTCTATTATTATATACGAACGTCATACGCAGGAGAACCGAATGATCGTCGGCGCGATTAAATAAAATTTAACGGCCGCAATCATAACCGCGTCTATTTCGATTTGGACGCCGCGTTAAAATACCGAACGCGGCACCGTGCGCGCACCGGTAATTGAAATCGATGGCGATTCCACCGAGCCCCGTTTATAGCCTGCCGTCGACGCGGCCGCGCGTCCGCGATCTAGCTCTGAGTGCGTTAAAAATTACGCAAAACCCGCCCGTCGCCGACACCGAAATTCCGGACGCAATGTTATCTCGAAACGATCGGATCACGAACGCCGTTATCGCCCGTGGAAAACGAGCATTCAATCGCCAGAATTACGACCGATTTGTTATATCGATCCGAAACTTTCCTCCGCGTTCCTTGAACTCTTCTTCATTGTTAAAGTCTATAGGATCATTCGTCTCATTCCTCCTTTCTGCTAATACGACTCTTCGTTTTCATTCGGAGATCAAGTGCAGGGAATTACAGCAGCGTAAATCACGTGAAAATTGGGCCATCATAAAAGACTGTAAAACTTCCCCACCAAATACGTAGTATTTAGACGCTAAGCTAATTATAAAAGAAGCCATTCTCTTTCATCTAAACAGGAATATTAAATCTCTGTGCCATAATTGCAACATGTTAGTTTTAGCATTTGTGTTGAACAGAAAGGTATTCTATACTTGTTTCTTTAGACAAACAGGTATATCGCTTTCCTTTTACATGCGTTACGATTAACCTAGATATAAGAGACAATCAAGAAACAAGAAGTTCTGTATATAGGACAAGACCAACTTTAATAATTCTCGATGTCTCTTTGCAGCCGTACCCGTGACCAGCAGCACCGTGCCGAGCAGCAGCTCGACCAGCACCACGGTTTTGGGTGGAGGAGCCGCTGGACTGCCACCCCCGGCGCCGCCGACCGTCCTCAAGGGCGGAGATCGATTCTACCCAGGGGGCAACATTCATCATCATCACGATCATCATCAACCGGCCACGGCAGCGCCGACCCTGTCCCACGCGCCCCCTCCAGCTGTCTATCCCGTGCATCCGCATCAGCCTCCGATTCACAATGGACCGCCGTCCTCTTCGCCGCCCAAGACCTCGATCGGCCAAAAGAAGAAGAACAGTACGTATTATACAACGCACCACACCACCTGCTCTGTTCACCGCGATACAAACTTCTCTTTTTCCTTCGATGCTCCTCGCGAACCATTATCTCGGCGAACGATTTTCACCGAGACCCGATCCATCGACATTAACACTCGAACCACTAGACAGGTGAAAATGATCCATTTCGATTGTCTTCTTTCACGGTTATCTACTTGAAAGATACAAATGATTTTCTCAGAAATTATTTATCAAATTGATTTAGTATCGGTTGCAACATAAGTACCTTCAAACTTATTCAACATTTTTGTTCGTATCACTAGCTACACGGAGCAGTGACACACAATAGTGTTGGGTTTCAATTAGCCAAGTTTATTCTTTTTATCACAATTATTTAGAATCATTCGTGCTTATGTTACTACCTAATAATCAGGTGGTTCTTTTATTTTTCCGTGATGAACATGACCTTTATTCTCCTTCCCGTTCCAATTGCAACGAAATTAATTATAGAACTTACACAAATGAATAAACCAATTTAATAATTACTCGGAAAAGTACCTTCACAATTTAACCAATCGTTAAACGAGAAACCGTAAACGAGTCATTTCGGTTCGTTCAATGCGCCCAGCTCGGAACGCGATGAATCCGTTAGGGGGTGCATCGGTATCCGCGGATTGGCGTCCGCGAATCTTTTTCGCGGTCAATTGTCCGGCAGACGATGGTGCGCAGTTTAATTATTGGGAACGGAAGCCCCGGTAATGACGGAAATTCGAGTCGGTATCGGGTGAATGCCGAACGTAAAAGGACTTCCCGCCGTGATGGATCGCGGGAACGGGGAGTCCCCCGTGCGTCTGTCGGCTGGCCGGGACCCGCGTTTGCAATTGCGCCGCACACGGTTTAAGGTGTCTTTAATCGTTGCCTCCTTTTTGTCCGGGCCAGTAATTATTACTTTGTATCGAAATTACCGTTGCATAAAATTAAGATAAACCACTCGTCCCCGACGACTTTACTGCTCGTTATCTTATGTAAATCTTTCTTTCGGAGGCGGAATTGCCGGGTTGCGTCGGGGTTCGTTATTAGCGCCGCGTAATTGATATTTCTCCTTTTCGAGACGGCCGCACATAGTTGCGGGCATCTCTCCCTCTCCCCTGATTTTCATTCTTTTTTCTTTCCTTCATTCCTTTCGCTCTTTTCCCTCCTCGCTCTTTGTACATTCTTTTTCTTTACACGTATTCCCCTGTCCCTGGCGATCGTGTTCGATGCGAGCGACGGGTGCCCGAAGGGCCGTGGAGGGAGGAACAGAGCTCGTCACCGGAGCTGCGCGGCCAGTGTGTTCCACTCATTAAATTACCGTTACGTAGCCGAACGCGACGCGGTCCATTGCATGTCAAACAATCATTTTACGTAATTCATTCGACTTATCGACCCGGTCGCATTAAGTCGAATAAAGTAAATAACGAGCGAATCAATTTTAATGAGGTTTAAAATTTTATCGTCCCGCCCACCCCAACTCGTTCCCATACCCCGCCTCGCTGTACCTTGTTCTACTTGTTACCGCCTCGTATCCCCAAAATCGCTGCGTCGAGTCGGTCCAACGTACGTAAAGATCCTGCAACATTTTAACGGGCGCGTTGCAGCGGCCAAAAATAAATTTTTTGTTCGTTTTACGCGAAGGAAGGTGGAGGGAGGGGGCAGAGAAAACGAAAGGAGAGGCAGACAGAAAGAAAGGGAGAATAATTTAACGGTCGTTCGGGGCATCGACGCACGGGCATCTCAATTCTCTTCAATTACCGGGGCGAACAAATTGAAGTTGTTCGACATGCCGATTACCGATATCCGATGCTGGGACGCGCACGCGTAAAAAGAATGTTAATAGATCGGGGGAAGAAGGCATTACGGACGCCCTCGTTGCGGGCGCACGTGCCAGATGGAGAACAGTTCGAATGGAAATTGGAACGAGTAGTCGTCCCGGCGGCCGTCTGTCGTTCGCCGCGGCCGCTCGCGCTTTCACGAGTCGACACCTACGATGATCCCGAGCTTCGAAACGCGCGGACGCGCCCATTTGCATCCCCGCCGATAAGCAGCTCATTAAACGGAGCCACGACTCGACCGGCCGACTGGCTGAGGCTCCTCGCTGCGAACCTGTCGAATTGAAATCTCGCTCCGGAGTCGGATTCCGGTTAATTCAACCCCGTAATCACGATTCAATCTACTCCGGTCCCAATCTTGCTGCCTCTTGAAATTACAAGGCGCGGGGAAAATTTACAACGTCGCCCGCCGCATTAACGCCTTAATGCGATATACCGTATCTTATCTCGTTCGGGGGAAGGAAAAGGACGATGCGATACACTTTTGGTTAATAATGTTGCTGGCCGATGGACGTTCCCCGAACGCAATATTCTCCGTAAAAAGTGGACGGGTTCCCGGGAGGCTGGCGGTTTTCGAGAAACTCGTGTCCCGCGGATTCGCTTGCGATGGCAACTTTCGGTTTCTTTGGCGAACGTATGGAGATACGCTTAATTCATCGGTGTTCGGATCAAGTATTAATGTGGTTGGTGGGTGGAACACTGAGAGTGAATGGTCGAAGAGCATCGAATTATTTGCGGTTGCTTAAAATATTAGAAAAAAAGGTCGGCTGATTCTTTCGTAAAATTTGTTCATTCATTAATAAGATTGTTTAAAATTTGTCAATCGTCAGATTACGAATCACTGTGCGAATTTTTTGAGAATGTGATTAGAAAAATGGAGTTACAGTAGAAAATGGTGGAATTTGGTAGTTTCGAATGTTTTGTAAATGCATAAAAATCCGCGCACTGTTAATCCTATTAGCGATCCAGTCGATAATTCGCAATGTACTAATCATTTCGATGTTTCTGCCAACAGAAGAATATTCAGACCACCCGAACGAAGTGGTGAAGAACGAAGAGTTGACCTATAACGGGGCGAGTTCCAGCCGCAACCAGGATCGGTACAGCCAGCTGATGGTAGTGCTGACCGGAAGCCTGGTGATCGGCGCGTATCTGCAACTGCAGCTGTTGCGGTGAAGCGACGGTGCCGCCGACGAGAACGTATACCCCATACGTCGAAACCCCTTTTTCTGTGATTATCCTACGTTTAATTAATTTCTTGAGGTACGCGCGTGAGCCCGCGCGCGGCCGCCCCTCGATCGTGGAAAAGTAAAACGCGCACGATTTATGGTCGGACTGCCTCGAGAGAGAGATAGATAGAGAGAGAGAGAGAAAGAGAGAGAGCGAGAGCGAGAGAG